CTACCGCTACCATTATAAAGTAAATGAGCGACTTTCGCTTCAAATTATGAAGATTTTGGAACATAGTTACGTCAGTGCGCACTTTTGAAATTGAATACTGATTTTTCCTACGATTTTGCCTGTCTCGGCAAAAAAAAAGTGTTAAAAAAAGGAAAAAATTCTGCATCAAACGGTGGTTGAAGTGTTTAACATTTTATGTTCTACGAGGTTGAAATAGGCTGAATGCAAAATTTGGTCACTTCAAAAAATAAATCGTAGAGATTCTGAAAGACAAGCCATAGGGCTGCAAAAAATTGCTTCTGTTGGCAAAAGGTTTGCCCTATCTGCTGGTTATTACGGCTCCTCCGAAAGTCTCATACAAAAATTTTGAAAATTAGCGATAGTTGGACGTGGTGAAAACGAGTGGTTGTAATTTCCAACAAATATCTCGTCATTCTCGCAACGAAATACAATGTTAGTTTAGAAGCTGAAAAGAGGAAGAAATTCTGCATTGGATACATTTTGAAGCGTTTGTTTATCTTCATTCTAGCGTGTTTGCCGATGGATTGAAAAAACCGACAAAACTTTCGGACTGACCTAATATCAAGGTGAACGGTAAAAAATGGGACACTTACAAAATAATTGGAGGTTTCTCAAGAAAGAGAAGTGATTAGATTTTCCAATTTTGAATATTAGAATAAGTTATTCTGTTTCAGACAATACCTATATAAGGTCATTTACATAATTACTAATTTTTATAATTACTGAAATGCAAAGCTAGTCACTTTGAAAAATAATGAAGTTTGAGCAGTATCTGCGCAGTGACCTGCTGGAGTGGGTGGTGGAACAGTCACTAAACTCACAACGGCTTGGTGCCCTCAACTTTCAAAGTCAGGAGATATGGCCACTAGCAGCTTTCAGAACAAAGATATGCGTTATTCAATTCTTTGCAGGCGAACGCATGCTTTCTAGGTACCATCTGATAGAGCTTTTTACGCTCTATCCATCTGTATCTAGCTTACCTCAGATTTTATCTATCTTCGAAACATATTTGGCGAAAAATGATTTTTTGGTTTATTGCGCTGAGGATAGCTATTTTTCAGGTTTTTTCGCTTTTTTTTTCTGAAACCGAAAAGAAATCTCATGCGTTCAACGTATCGTTTGAAAGAGCATGAAGAGTTCTTTCGAATGGTATGTTACCTGCTTCACGACTTTACAGTATAGCAGCGCAAGAGTGAGAATTATTTAAAAAACATTGTTTGAGTGTCTCACTTCGCCACGCGTACGGTTATGAGAGAGGAGCGGTGACGCGTTGCCAGAGTAATAGGCGAAGGTCAGTTATGTAAGCGACGTTTGAGTTGCAGCCTTTTGTCATTGGTGAGGACAAAAAATTTCGAAATGTAATAAAAATCAAGCTGTCCCATTTTTTACCTTTCACCCTTATATATGCCTGACCAAGTTGGAATCCGCAGAATTTTAGTACTTTTTGTATGGTACTGCTAGCTCAAATAAATGAAATTTTTCTCAAACGAACATGCGCGCCATACGTGCATCGTCGCCTCCCGGTGTACGTGGGCGAAGCATTTGCAGACATCTGAAGACATTGGTAAACCTGTTAACCCTCTACTGCAAGGCATTGTTTTTTGTAATCTCTCGCTACCAACTCTGCCACGTGTGAAAACGCATATATACGTGGCAGTCCAGAGAACAGAAAGAACATACTTTGCAGTAGAGGTTTGACAAGTTCACCAACGTGTTCAAGTGTCTGCAAATGCTACGCCCAACGTACACCGGAAAGCAACAATATGATAATGGAGATCTTCCCATTTACACAGTGTGTTTTGTCCCTAATATCTAAACTTCCTCTTTTTGAGTGTATATCACTTATGAAAGAGTTCGGGTTTGTACAAAACATGCATGGCAGATTTGTGAAAGATCTGCGGGCTCTATTAATAGAACTTGTTTCTAGAAAGTTAACATTCATTGAGAAACATGTGCATTAAGTCAACGTAATAAGTGTGATGGGAGGAGGACATGTCATTGTGAGACGAAAAAAGTATAAATATTAGGTGGGTCCGAAAGTTCTGTCGTTTTATTTTCAAAAATTTGTTACTTTGCGCTGTATCGACAGATTTGCTTGCTTGTAATTTTGTCAGAAAGAAAAAGTCTTTCCCTTCCAAACGCTGTTTTGCTGAGCTTCTGTTTCACATTGGGTGCGGAGATAAAAATGGAAAACTAAGACCATATAAGATTTGACCATTTTAAGTTAGGTCGCCAAAAATTGGGAACGCTGCAGAAAAATCTGTCGTCAGTACATATGTTTTTTGGCCTACCCTTTGCATCTGTGAAAAGTCTGTGCTGTTTGGACGTCTCTGTGAGAAGTTATAATTATTAAGAAAATTAGCAAATTAATCAGTTTTAGCGTTTTCCATAGTAAACTCAAAAATTATAACTTTTTACAGAGACGTCCAAATGGCACAAACTTTTCACATTTTCGAAGGTAGGTCAAAAAACATATGTACTGACGATTTCAGATTTTTCTGCAGCGTTCTCGATTTTTGGTGACCTAACTTAAAATGGTCAAAGCTTATATGGTCTTAGTTTTCCATTTTTATCCCCGCATCCGGTGTGAAACCGAAGCTGATCAAAGAAGCGTTTGGAAGCGAAAGACTTATTCTTTCCTATAAAATTACAGGCAAGCAAATCCGTTGACATAGCGCAAAGTTACAAATTTTTGAAAATGAAACGACAGAACTTTTGGACCCACCTAATATTAAGATTACAGAGAGTTATGACATTGGTCATGTACACGTTAATAGTAAAAAAGAAACAGGAACTGTGAGTAAAGATTATTACATCGGGTCATGTACTTATTGTAAAAAAGCGCACTTAAAGCACAATCACTTCCGCGTTAGAGAGGGATGAGAAAATGCGAGATAAGAACTCAATCACTTCCGCTTTCTAAAGTCGAGGAGTAATAAAAAAAGTTTTCATTATCTTCACACTTTTTGAAGCTATGACATTCAGCGGAACAGCTTTGATGCATCATAGTCCAAATAGTGAATTAGCAAAACTATGTGGGAATTTTGTACCTAGCCAGGCTTTAAAGACGAGCGGCGACAGAATGTAAGCATGAGGCCCAAAGTTCCAAAAAATACGATTTTAAAAATCCTCAGTCATCGCACACCATAATACCGAAGCAATATGTGAAGCCATTAAGGAGCTGGAAAAAGGGATAGGCCTTTGCGTTTCAGTTCAGAGAGCATTCGGAAGGAATGTGAAGCTTATGAGCCTACACCCTACAGCAAGCGTAGCACAAATTGGCGGAGCTTGAAGTTTATAGCAATTTTTGAAAGAAATTGACATCGCAGCAGGGGAGAGCTTGAAGGCTGCTAGATCTTACAATTATCGTGAAATAATAATCGGAGAGAAACATGTCGCAACATGCAAAGCAAACTGGAGCCGTCCCTATAATAAATAGCTTTGATGCAAATCAGGGAAAATCTTACTGACTTTTCCATTTCATCACAACAATCAGCTAGCAGTGCTTTGACACCCATCGTGTTGAAGTGACAGTGAAATTTAGCGGTGTTATTGAGGATTTGCCCACCTTTTCGCGACAGTAGATCAAAATACTGTGCTCATTTCAAAAGGCGAATCGATCAAACATACCATATTATGCGGCTTACGGCAACAGGGTCGCGCAGCGCAACTACGCCATTACGCTCGAGCTGGCTGTTCAGCCATGCCATGCCTACAGAAAACAGTCATGACTCCTTAATATCTATAAGAGTGAGAAACAGGCACGAAAACCATAAAACAAGTTCCTCATTCCTGAGTAAGGTGCCAGCTCCCGCGCGCACTGCGGCTGCACCGCTGTTGCCGATAGACGGCCTGTAAATAATGACGAATATAATGACGCTCCTAGGCCTAAAGCATACTTCCCACGATCTCGTCAAACGTTACATCCACACGACTTAGAGATTTGCCACATGTCTACAGATTGAACGTGCACGGGTCAAATACATAGGCAGGTAGCTGTTGTAAGTTGACGCAAACGCAAAGCTGTCCCAAGCAAAGCGCGCTTACGACATTAACACGACCGGACCATTTCGGACTACATGCATCAGAATGGACTGTATTTTCAAATCTGTGGTTTAGCCTCCTGAGCAGCTACCGCGATTGTTCAGTGTTCTATATGACAATCGGACCACCATTGTTATTACTGCATAGAAGTTACTTTAGAACTTTTGCTTACATTGAAAAATTGAAGCACGAAAGTGCTAGACGGAATCAGAACGTGCGTATGCACTTGGTCGTCAACGTGTTAAGAAGACTCATCGCAGTGCCAGATCGCGCAGCGACAGGATTCGCGTCAGGTATGCCTTGGTCCTTGAACGACACAAACCACCACAGAATGATGTTCACAATGCGAAAAACACAAAATTTTCCAAAATTCGTAAAGCTCCTATGCATGATTACAGATTTTCAGACATTTCAGCAGGGTTGATGTTTTTACAGTTGTTTGGGTCTACTTTCAGCAGTTGACCATAGTGAGTGTAATGCTCCAACTGTTCTTCTTCCATATGGCATGAATTTTGGACATTGGCATTATGGATAGGATGGTACGATTCCCTTATCGAGATTAAGTCGAAACATTCTGAAGGTGAAGATCAATCCAAGTCAGATAATGGCAATCATTTATCAAATCTATCTCTTAATGAGACAAAGAGGTTTAACGAGAATAAAGACTGACACAGACGTACCAGGAAGTGTAGAGATATGGATTATAATGAAACACCAAGAAAAACGAAGGATTATGAGCTTTGAAATTCGGCTCATGACAATTAATGATGATCCGGCAACTCATATCAATAAAAAAGAACAGCTATGCAGTCTAAACCAACCAAATCTATGCGATAATTGAAAATCGCATAGAACTGCGAAGCCCAATGTTCCCTCTAATGTCCCTATAAAAGAGTAACGAAGTGAGCAGCAAAGCGTTGCCAAGCAATAATACAATGATGACCATCGGCTTTACTTCACTTCTGGTAAGTGAGTTTCGGTAACAACACAATGCTTTTTATACTAGTAATGTTTAAACTTTATGGATCCTTGGCATTCAACGATAAGCAAACTATTTGCTGTTAGCAGAATGACCTGATGGCTAGATATTTGTTTTATCCCTAACAGGATGTATAAAAATTCAAAGATCATATTAAAGCAGTAGTTGACACCTGGTCCTTGAGTAAAAAGTAAAGTACTCAAGTAACAAAATCTACTGGTCCAATTGAAAAGAGTAGTTTGGTAAAGCGTTTGAATTTTGAATTTCACAGCTGCAAAGATGTCATAGCTCCCGCTTGTCCCTTGACTCAAATAAGTTTTCCAATCGCTTTACGTATCCAGTCACACAGTTTTACCTTTTCAATTGCCTCAAACAGTCCTCAAATATTGGTTAGGAACACTTTGAAAATAAAGTAGCCTAACTTTATTAGTCATCGTCTAAAGCGGTTGACATTTTTAGGTGCTCACAATAATTGCAAGTGCAGCACAAACCTCCCGTAAGTTTTGTATTCCATTCCAATAGCTTGGCTAATTGACTAAACAATTCAGAGACAGAAATTTGCTCACACAAAGATGGAATGACTGACGATATTCGCAACATTGCGCTTACACTACACAACAGCTATAGGTAAGTTTTCGAGATTGTCTTTAGTAACTAGAAACAAATGATGTTCACACATTTTAGGTCAGATCTTGCACTCGGCAAGGTGAAAAAATATGATGGTTCGCTTTTGCCACAGGCAGGAGCGATGATGCAGCTGGTGATTAAATTCAAAAAAGAAAGGAAAATTATCACAATTTGAGGCAGATTTTCAGGAATACTTGTGCGAGGCAGAGGACATTGCTTATAATGAAGCAAGTCAATGTCCGACAGTTGAAAACCCTTTGGAAGCTGTTGGACCTTTGGAGGAAGAGAATTTTGCTATGATACCGAAAACAGATGCAAATGACGCTAACAGTGCCATAGAAATGGTTAGCTTTACCGGTTTATTTCGCCCAACCCCCCCCCCCTTCTTTGTCCAATACTACCAGCGGGCTTACATAACCTACTTAAGGCTATGCAAAAGTGGTGGAGTACAGTGCAAACTGATCCTACTCCATATGACGAACATTTCCATGTCGTAGAGAGTCACTTAAAGGCGCCGCTGATGTCTTTCATAAGGGTAAGAAGAGAGTTCTGGCCATATTTTTCTAATTTATATTCAACAGATGGCCTGGCATGAAACATGGGCTGTAGGTTGCGGCGTGAAGGAATGTGGCGATCATTACACTATTATATGCCGTTATAGATGGGGGTACATTCTTTTGTTTTCTTTTGTATATACAAGCTATACAAGGAATTGCAGGATCACCCTTGATACTCCTCTTTACTGGCAAAACACACCATGCAAAGATTGCTGGGAAACAGACATTTGCCACCCCAATAAAGGGCTCTGCATTGAATAGACTGCAATATTAAATAAATTTTTTCTTGTACACTTCTCTTATTCACACTACAACTAGTCTGATCACTTGCAAGTTTTAAGTTTGGTAATAAGAATGTACAGCTTTCCTGTTCAAATCGATATCGAGAAGAAACAACTTCATTTTACCATAAAAATTATCCCAATTTTTCAAGTACAAGGCGTCCTTTTTCATTTTCAGTGCGACCGGCTTAGCCACTTCGATATAGATCGCGGGACGATCGCTATGCCCACAATTTTCTTAGGTGATGTGCAGCACGGTGGTCTTTGTGTCGCCAAACTTTTAGGCAAGTTTTGGCTGGTCGATTTTAGAGAATGAAACCCTGCGCATTGTACACTTGAGATTAGGGTAGACAAACCAAGTTCTAATGGCTCCTTTCTGAGAGCTGGGAAGAGGAAGTTTGTTAGCTCAGCCAGCGAGAATTCTCATCAGCGTTACCGTGCAGAGAGGAATAAATGGGAGAGCCATGATTGTCGACATGCGTTAAGATAGAAGGAGCACATGAATAACGAACATTATCACCAGGGTCAAGCAAGAGGTGTGGCACACGATCGCTGGTTACGACCCCCCCCCCCCTCTTATTGCTGTCTCAATAAGACCCCTGAGCTATATACCTAAGATAGCATTACTTGAAGGCCCTGTCAAACATAACGGGCAACCTATCCATAATTAGCATGTCAATTAACCCCTGTGGACAATGTTTGAGCCAATTCTGAAGTTTCAAGATACTGGGTCACCTAAGTGAGATTGCCATTTTCCAGGCATGATCAACTTTGTTTCAAAGGTGAAGTAGCTAGCTGTTTTTGCACTCAGGACAAAGCAGTACTCCTTTTCGGCCACTTCAGAAATTTCGTTCCAAAGGACCTCCTAACTTTGGAATTGGAAACCAACCAAAATCTTGTTTTTTCTATTTTTCCTTTTAGTGGCTGTGCTTTCACCAAATATTACTCAGAGCTAAGAAGACGAATTAGGTTCAATTCACTTCTGTGAAATCTACGTGGTCTACGCTATCGACTCATGTAATTAACGTTCGCTAAAAATGTTTTCTTGATATAGTTAATGGGGTGTGGCACCACTCCTAAAAAGCTGTGGCTGCCACAGCTGCTCAAGTAGCTGCGTTTTTTATATCGTTGTTACTGCTTAATCTTCTTTACATAGCAGAAATTTCATATGAAAACGTTTATTCAAGGGCAAGATATAATCGCTTTTTCTTACCTTTGCAAATATGAAATAATGGTAAAATACTGCGAAAATATTGGGATACGGTAACATGCTAAGTCTGCGCTACTACGCAAGGGAAGGCGACAAGAATGTATATATTCGATAACCTAAGCCTCGTAATCTACACTAAATTGGTTTGAGCCTGATCTTCTTTAGCTTGAGATATTGAAAACGAAAAATGAAACAAACGAGATTCTGGCTTGCTCTTAATTCCTCAATTTGTCATATGAAGTAGGATTCCTAATGTGAGCAAAGAAATATTAGTTCATTGTATTAAACGCAAAAAGAAGTAGTTAACTTACGAAACAAAGTAACATGTTTGAAAACGACCATCTCACTTAGGTGGTGCTGTATTTGGAAACTTCAGAATTCGCTGAAACTTGGAGCACAGGGGTTATTTACTTGCCAATTACAAAACGATGCTTTATGCTTTAGAGATCTTTATTTATGCTTACTGTACGTATACGATAATGGATCAAACATGTGCTGTGCTAGTATTTTGCATGACGGGTCTGATTGACATCGTTAACGAATATCATGTTATGCGAACAGCGGACGCATTGATATAACGACCCCCCCCCCCACCCTCTCTGAATTTTCAATACGACCCCCCAGTTGTGGCATGCCACACCCCACTAATCCCGATTATCACTGCCACCCCTCCTTGAGCACCCACCGTATGTGTCACCAAAACGCAAAGTTCGATAGCTTAAAGGCAGCGGCTCGGCAGATTGACCTACCTCAGATTTTGACACAGATGGATAGGAGGCCCTCCAAGTGAACCAAAACAGCCTCCGCGCCGAAAATGTGAACTCTGCAAACCAGGGGGGGGGGGTCTAAGCCGATCCCCTTCCTCCTTTCGCTCCCCTACCACCTTGCTCGGACGAGTATGTTCTCAGCTAGAAAACGCGCCGTCATTCGTTGCTTTGTAGGGCAGGATTTTTCTAGCGTTCTCTACCTCCTTACTCTGCGTGTCTGACGGCAGAGAAAAACGGCTCACTCGTCCGCGCCCGTCTCAAAGGGGGTTTCAAAAGACATGGTTTTCCCCATTTTCGCGCTAAGGGGAGTTCATGTCGTGATTCAGGGGGCCGGAATAGCCCTAAATCTGCCAAAACCCCGAAGTTGAAAACCTGCCGAGCCGCTGCCTTCTAATGTCTACCAAGAGGAATTGAAGTGTCAGCGCTAAAGACTCTCGGAGTTTGTTGAATTTTTCCAGAAGTCCTAAAATAAACCGATAAAACTAGTGCATCGCCGTAACTAGAACTAGCGTCGTTCTTAGAGTTATGCCAGTTTTGATTAATCCAACCTTCTGAGACCGACCGAATTTATCGGCTTACAGGTTATATTAGAGACCACCGCCAGGTGCCTGATAGGCACCGGTGGTCCTTAAAAACGTAATGGCTAATGCGGACTAAGTCTTGTACTTGACAAGAGTCAGTTTACTTTTCAGATTTTTTGATGCGAGTTTTGGAATGCTTGATGGGGTAAATCACCCGTTACAGCGAAGCAAACATCCGTAATGATGAGATCAAGAATCGATAGCGAAACATTATTTAGCTGATTGGAATCTTCGTTTTTTTACAGCCAGTCCAAAAATTGTAAGCTACCTCCTCCATCATTTTGAATGCTTTGTAATAGATACGACCCGAAGAAGACAGAGCCAACAGTTTTTCTAAATTAAGATAGCTTCTAGATACTTCGAATGATTGGCAGTAAAGTGACTGTAACCAATCCTTTGCTCACATAATTTTGCATACTTCTAACATATACCATACCTTCATCGTAAGAGTTTTCATACAAGCAAAAAAAAGAGTTTTTACTGCTTGCTGCCAATGCGCTTATCCCAAATCTGCAATACCTTCGTCAAAAGCTTATAAGAACTACGAAAACCTGTCATAATGAGTCTAAAGTACAATGATAGGTTCTCCCTCCTGAAATTTCTGACTAACTCCCCATTGCGTATCAGTACTTTGAGTGGACTCATCACATCATCAACACTGGAACAGTAGAAGGTCAGAGTAGCTAACCCCACTTTTTCTGCCACTTTTGTTTCAGTAATTCTCTTTTGTTTAGGGTTATGTTCCGCTGGAGATTGCAAAATCACAATTTTTTTACAGGCACACACTAAATTTGTTAACACATGATTTTTTTGTCACAGTATACAGTTCTATCACTTTCATGCCAACATGCCAAAATGCTTTCATACATCAGTGCTTTCATTGTATACATCGTTTCACTTCTTCCCCTTATAGAAAAACTCGTTTCTGGAAATTTCAAAATCAGAAATTAAGAAACTGAAGGAGAATTACACTTTTAGTGAGATTCGCTAGAAGAAATTCCTAAACTTCATTGCTGTATCGCAAAATCATTAGGTTGTAAAGAAATTTCCCGGGCAGTTTCGGAAATTTCATTTTCAGACTAATTTTTTTCGCACTCGGTCGAATCTTAACGATAAATGTTTCGTATATGGTTCTATAATAAAAAGCTCAAGCTTTCCAAAAAGCAACCAATTTTTACCGATATCAAACCGTTTTTGATGTAGACACCAAAAAAGGAAGTCTGTGCCGCGACAAAAACTTCAAAATTTTTCTTTCCGCTGCCATTTTTTCATAGAAACAAAACCATTTAAGAGTTCAGTGTGAACAAGTAGGCTGTCCACTTCAAAACCGCAGCTATGCTCGGATTTTACAATATGAGCGAAAAACTTATAAACTCTCAAACTTGCCTTTGACCATGTCTGTTTTAGCAGTCGTCGTCGATTTTGTAAGGATCGTCATGCCTCGGTGAAAGGCCCAAAAGATGTGCGAGACATTATCCCAGCAATACTTGCAGCAATCAAAGATTGAATTTTGTGGAAAGAAGGAATCTCGTTTATTCAAAAATGGGGCATTCTCGGGGTGCAAAAATGGCCGATTTTCCAACTTTTTCGAGGGAAAATTTTTTACATATCCTCTAAAATTGGGACGCTGTCCTCAACAGAGTTCTACATAACTACCGAATATGAGCTGCAGCAAAATTTGCGGCTTGAAAAGGATCAATCTGCTTGAAGTTACAGCAGTCCAAAAAAACATTTCGCAAGCGCCAGGGAACTTCTTTTACAACCTGATATATGAGGTAATTTCACATGCCTGGTCAAATTACGAGGTTGAAAACGTAATCGAACTTGCTCGTCTGGAAGTGGAAGTTTATTTGGAATTTTATTCGAAAATTTGAACGCTACTGTAGAGGTGCAGAGAGATTTGAATGGCCTTCTTCACTTTGGACTTCTTCCTATTAATCCTTAAAGTTCCACTTTAGGGAAAGCTGAAGTGGAATGCAGCGAAAAAACGATCGAAGTCATTTTTTTGACGGAATCTGTCTCTGAAGGTAAGTTCAATTGTTGTGTAGTTTGTAACTCTGTACTTATTTGTTGTAGGGCGAATATTTGTGATTGGACATGCAAATGACTCGCGATGTTTCTCTCAAGAAACTGGCCAACGAACTACTTCAATTTCCATTAATAAAGATGTCTGCGGTGTTATCACAACACGATTGGTAAAGATTACAATATCTTATCAATCAATGGAAGTTTACTGCACAGCAAATTCCAGTCAAACTCTCCAGGATTATATCGAATTCATGAAATAATGTTTAAGCCACGCAGGTTTGTTAAGATGTTTATTCAGTCTAACGTTTCGGCAATAATGCCTTCCTCAGAGACCTGAAAGAAAGCCTCATCACACTGTTCTGTACCATATACGATCAAATCTCTCTTCTCAACCAGCTTAGCTCGATGCCTTGGGAGCAAACATGCC